TGTAAAGGGCCCAACAACTTATATGGTGACCGATGATTTGACCGTGACTCCATTGTGTGTGACCTCAAGCCTTTCTATTTTGGATCGGCAGGGAATACCGTTGTCTGATGTGGAAGAATTGGAGCTTAACATTGGATTGGAAGAGGTAACTATGATAAGACATTATATCGCATGTTCATTTCGATCGTTCGATTTGTTTCCATGATGAGTATTCTTTTAATTTTTTAATTACAGAATATTGTTCTATCTCTACTGTAGGCTCTGAGCATTTTGAAGGCATCTCTCACCTCGACTTCGGCGCTGACCAATGGCCTTTTCGAACCATCAATAAGAACAGTGAGGCCAATGTCTGGAGGTTCCTGCATTAGTGTTTGTTGTTCCTAATCTGTGCTACACTTCTAGCTATCCATGTTTTTTCCTCATAATTAAGTGAATTTGTGTCTGGTTTGGTTCGATTTATGAAATTATGTGCGAAAGTTGATTTACGGCCCCTTAAGTTGTCTTATTTTAGTAATTTTATATTGAACTGATTTAGTTCGCCGTGCAGGACATGAATGATGCTGAAAACAGTCAGAGAAATGTAAATGTTGTCTCTGGCATAATACACATTCTTCTTCTTTTTCCTGAATTTTTACTATTTCCTGATGCAATTGGTAAGAACAATTCGTGACTGACTATTTTCAGCCAATAATGATGACAAAAAGAAATTAAATTACAACAAGTTAATTTTCAAGGCCACCAATAGGTACTTTACATCCGAGAAGCGTGTTTGATAAAGAATGCCGTAAGCTGAAGCTGGTTATTAGTGGTTTCAAGGCCACCAATAGGTACTTTACATGCGGACGTCCGTTCAGTGGGAAGCACAATTTCAGCATGTACTATGATACTGTTAGATGTGATTGTGGGAAAACTATGAGCACACAAACAATATTAAGATCATGTGAGACTTCTGAAGATGGCGATGATCGAGCTTTTTGCACGAAAGGTGCTTTCTTTATAATCAGTGATGATATGCGGGTGGTGCTGGCGGGGCCAGTCTTAAGGACTCTAGCAGAACTTGGTATTAGGGACACCAAGGGAGCCGAGATGAGGAATGTGACATTCGGATATAATGAGGTGAGTCTTGATTCTATTGTATCGAACTTTATATTATGTGTGTGTGATATTATATATCTGCTAAATCTGTTAATTGGATTTCAACAGATAGTGTGTTTGGTATTATGTATCTGCAAAATCCATTACTTGTATTTCAACTAATAACTAAAAGTGCTTTTACTAATTACAACCGAGGGGACTGATTGATTTTTGTTACTGTTGTCTTTGTTCTTTGAACAAGATTATAGATTTGCTTCAAGGCATGTTTATGTCACGGACTCCTTTGACCGATGTCATAATCGGCAAAGCTCAAAGTAACTCTGAAGTTTTCATACCAAAGACAGAGGAAGCAACTGTTTCCAACTTTGAGAAGATGATGATATTGAATGTCATGGTACAAAAATCGACACATAAGTTAATATTTGCCCAAGCAAAGGATGATTTTGTTGATTTTCTCTTTAGTCTGCTCACAATCCCACTCGGTGGAGCTTTGTCACTTCTGGGGAGCAGCACTTGTGTTACAAGTTTAGACAATTTTTACGCTAGTGTAGAAAATATTAGTGAAGAGTACTTGAAGACTAAGGATACAAAGACCAAATTACGAAGAACCCAACTACCTATTGGATATATGTCCCCAAACCAACTTCTCCCTCTAACCGAAGGAGAATTTCCTGAACTTCATTTTGTTGCAGGCAATGTACTTAATGCGCGTAATGATTTTTTGTCTCCTCCAACTGAGAAATATAGTATGAATAATTTGCTTCATCACAAGTCTCCAAAAGGCAATGGGAATTATGTAAAGGGGCCAACAATGTATATAGTGACCGATGATTTAACTGTGACTCCATTGTGTATGGCCTCAGGTCTTTCTATTTTGGACCGGCTGGGAATTCCGTTGTCTGATGTTGAAGAATTGGAGCTTAACATTGGATTGGAAGAGGTAACTATGATACAACATTATAACCCTTGTTCATTTCGATTGTTTGATTATTTATCATGATGAAAGTTTTTTCTGCTTTTTCTATTTTCCTTTTCAGTTACTGAATGTTGTTCTTATCACTACTGTAGGCTCTGAGCATTTTGAAGGCATCTCTCGCCTCGACTTCGGCGCTGACCAATGGCCTTTTTGAACCATCATTAAGAAAGTGTGTGAAGCAAGAACAACACTGAGGCCAATGTCTGGAGGTTCCTGCATTAGTGTTTGTTGTTCCTAATCTGTGCTACACGTCAAGTTATCTATGTTTTTTTCCTCATAATTAAGTGAAAATGTGTCCAGTTTGGTTTGGTTTATGAAATTATGGCAAAAACTGATTTTCGGTCCACTAAGTTGGTCTCTGTTCGTAATTTTATATTGAATTGGTTTTGTTCGCCATGCCGGACATGAATGTTATCTCCGGCATGCATGATACACATTCTTCGTAATTTTCCTGAATTTTTCTTTGTAGAATTTACTATTTCCCGACGCAATTGGTGAGACGAGTTAATGACTGTATTTTCAGCTAATAATGATGACAAAAAGAAAATAAATTACAACAAGTTAATTTGTAAAATGTACCTTGCCTTTCACAAGAGTTTCAAATTTGAGAATACATCAAAACAGGAAAACTTGTTGCTTCTGTTAAATGGATTTCAAGTTCCCCTTGGAATTTAGCCATATGTTAAACAAACAGAAAAACATGGTAATGTTTTCCTATCAAAAGATCGGATTATGGAATAGTGATGCATGGAGATGTGAATCGAATTAGCCTGTTCGTAAGCTGTGACCATATCTATGGTTAATACGACAGTCACAGTCAAGTTAAAATTTCTATTTTTCTCATATCAGACAATTCATATTAAGCTAGAGTTGAAGGTGGTAGTGTATTCATCTCAAATTTTTTTCCCACTTCTCTACAAAGGACAACCACTTGTTTCTTAAAATGAGGACGTGTTTTACGGTGTTTGCATTTCATGTTTTAACTCTGATGAATCTGGAGAAATGGAATGCCACTTTAGCACACTTGCCCTTTTTTCGAACACGTTAAACGACGACTTTTCTGGCTCTTCTGCACATAACGTCCATAGATTAAGTGAACTGAAGAGAGGCCACTTTACAGAGAACCCCATTAAAAGAAGAAAATA